AGTAAGCCTTACAAATTCGTGTGTGTGTGTGTGTGTGTGTGTGTGTGTGAGAGAGAGAGAGAGAGAGAGAGAGAGAGAGAGAGAGAGAGAGAGAGTTTAATACTCCTTTTAATTTAATAACTAGAGGGGAGGTAAGGATCAAACCCAGGACCTCTAGGCAGGTGCTTTACCACTGACCCACACCTCCAGCCTACGATTAAACTAGCCTCACAGCTTTTTGAATCTTAGGCAGTTATCTCCAAAGGTCCCCTACTCTCTCTCTCTCACAAAAACACACTGTTACTGTGCACTTACGTTTTCCGGGGCTGATCGTTTTGGCACTGACAACCAATTGGTGTGCTCTTCCCTGGGGAAGATCACCTCTCCCACTCCCAGCTTTACTAAATTGCCGATAGTTCTTTGTGTAGGGTGAGGCCTCATAGGCTTCCCCCAGCCCATCTAGTTTGCCCGTTCGCTGATATATATCTGTGTGTGTCACACACACACAAATACACATATGCATGCAAAAACAATTAATGAAAAGAGGCCATGAATTTGAAGGAGATGGGGGCAGGTTATATGGGAAGGTTTGGGGGTAGGAAAGGGAAGGAGAAACACTGTAATTAAATTCAAATCTCAAAGACAACAAACAAAACCCCACATGCTATAATAACCAATATGATGAAAGTATAAAAGAGAACAAGGATTTGTACATAGCTCTGAAACAAGATGGAGAAAGCTAGACTCGGGATCCTGCCAATTCATAACAACCTACACAGTCTCAGTTTATTCTCTTAAAAAAAAAAAAACAAAAAAACCTCCACCTTGCTAGACAGAATAAACGATTAGAATAGTGGTAACAAGCTCAGCCCAGGACTTTAAGAGCATGATCAGTAACTTATCATTATGCTATGTTAATACTAGGCATGACTACACACCTGACATCTTCCCCCATGAAAGCAAAACACCTATAACCTATCACACACAAATAGGTTCAATACTTTTGGGCAAGTAGTTGTCAAGCACTCTAAGCACTTAGCTCATTTTCTTAATAGTGTATCACCCCCTCTTTCACAGGTAAGGCAAACTTAAGGAGTGGACCTTTTTAAAAAGACTGAATGCAGACTCTGCATGCTTTACCATGACAGCAGACAACGCCATTCCAAGATGAGTCCTCTTGAACAGATCGGGTGCCAGATTTAAGTCTGAAAATCCTCGGGCCTCACCCTCTCTTATTTAAATTTGAATGCCACCCAATGCTAATCCAACATACACTCAGTGGTTTTAGAGCGTGGACTGATGAGTCACACAAACCAGGTCTTTAAGGCCTGCTGTGAGGTACTCGTTACCTGGATGACCTTAACCCTTTCCCAATCTCAGATTCCACATCTGCGAAATGGGGCTAAGAATAGCGCCTGCTTCAACCAGCTGTTCTGAATATGAATGCAAGGGCCTAAATTAACCACGCAGCGCAGATCAGCTTAGTCGTCAATACTGGGCGTCGGGGCAAGGGGAGCGAGGGTCGTTCGTCCCCGAGTGACCCCGCAGACCCGACCTCCGCCGGCTCTTACCGCTCTTGGGTTTAGACTCGCCGGCCGGCCCCGCCGAGGCGGAGCGGGGCGGCTGCTGCCCTTTGCTGCTGCCCGAGGAGGCGGAGGAGCTGTTGGAGCCGCTGTTCTTGTCCATGTCGGAGGCGGTGGCGGCGGCGCTGGGGGAGCTCTGCGGCATCAAAGGGGGCCTCGGCGGCGGCGGCGGCGGTCGGAACGGAGCGGGCGCGGCGGGGACCCAGGCTCATGGCGTTCAGGGCCGGCGGGGGTCGGCGGCGGCAGCGGTTCTCGGCCTTCATGGCGACATTTTTCCTTGTTTCCTTCTTCGGCTTCTCAAAATGGAAGGAGAAGCGACAGGTGGGGCTTTGGGCCCAGGGGCGGCGGTGACCGGAGAGGAGGAGGAGGAGGAGGCCGGGGCTCGGAGGTCCGGGCCGGGCCTGGCGGGGCGGAGGCTGCGGGGGAAGGGGAGGTGCGGGAGGGTCGCGAGCCCCGCCGGCCGGCCGGACACGCTCTCCCGCCGCGGGGCAGGAGAGAGGGCTGGCTGTCTCGGTGCCGGGGACCGGGGCCTCCGACACAGCGACCGACACTCGCCTCTGGGCCGAGGCCGAGCTGCTCCGGGAATGGCGACGAGTCGCCAAACAGCATCTCCAAGAACCCGGATGGACTATTTATATAGTCGCCCGGCGGCCGCGATGCATCCTGGGGAGTGTAGTTCTCGCCAACATCCGGGTCCAGTAATGGTTCCCTCCCATATCCCCAGGGGCGGGACGGCTGCAAGACTTGTTCTTAACAATGCTTTTTCTCTCTTTCCTTTTTTTCCCCCTTCCCTCACTTCCTCCTTCTTTTTAAGACAGTATTTCACTAGGTCGCCCTAACTGGGCCAGAACTCATTATGTGGACCAGGCTGGCTTCAAATCCACAGATTTTCCGACCTCTGCCTCCTAAGGGCTGGGATCTTTTTTTTTTTCTTTTAAGGTGTATGGGTGTCTGTCTGGTACCAAACAGACATGTTTACATGGTGCACAGGTATACATACAGGTAAAACACCCATACGCAAACATTTCTAAAAAGCCAAGTGGAGGGTGATGGCCCGCCTGCAACTCCAGTGCACAGGAGGCAGAGATGCAGAAATCCCCAGAGCAGACTGGTTAGCCAGACTAGCTGAAACGGTGAGTCCACCTAGAGACCCTGACCCAGCAAAGAATGTGGAGAGTCATGGAGGGAGACACCCAACGCCGGCCTCAGAACCCCATAGAGATGTGCATGTGTGTGAAAACATTCATAATGCATGCATGCATGCCGCATTCAGATGTAAAAATCAGCAAGAAAGAAACAGTGTAATACAGTTCAGTGAGAACAGTTGGGAGGGGCACAGAAGGACTTCTTGGTGCCAGGTGGAGGACACGTGACACACAGAACACCATTTTTTCTCTAATGGTGTGAGGGATCAAATCCAGGGCCCCACGTACTCAATCAGGTTTCCTACCTCTGAGCTACTCCCTCAGCTGATTAGTGGAATTTTAGCAATGGTGGATGAACGACAGCCAGATCGGCACATGCCTGTAGTCCTAATACTCAAGAAACCAAAACAGGCAATACAGAATGTAAGGCTAGCCTGTGCTACATAGCGAGACTGTGTCTCATACAAGAGAGAAAGACAGTATGGCTAAGTGGGAGGGTACTTGCATGGGCAAAGCTCTGAGTTTGATCCCCAGTATCATGGGGGGGGGGGGATAACACCGCATGGATCAGAGGCTGGAGAGATGGCTCAGTGGCTAAGAGACTGTACTGTTCTTCCAGAGGACCTGAGTTCTGTTGAGATCTACTGGGTTTGTTCACAGCCCCCTAGAACTCCAGCTCCAGGGGTCCCAATGACCTCTTCTAGTCTGTAGAGGCACCTGCACTCATGTGCACAGACCCACACACAGGTACACGCACGCACGCACGCACGCACGCACGCACACACAATTTATAAATAGTAAAAATACATCTTGAGGCAGAGGCAGATAGCGCTCTCTAAGTTTCAGGCCAGCCAGGGATACATGGTAAGACCCTGTGTCAAAAAAAAAAAAAAGGCCAGGCGGTGGTGGTGCACGCCTTTAATCCCAGCACTCGGGAGGCAGAGGCAGGCAGATCTCTGTGAGTTCG